ATTCATTTTGTTTCTATTACTTAAAATCTTTTAATTTCTTTTTAGTAAAAAAATATTCTCGTCTCATAAGAACGATATTATTTTTTATTTTTGTCCGTCCTAAATTAAGAGTACCGTATTTTAATTTAATATTGTACTACGTAACTTACATAATAATATTTTATTACATTTTTTTTACTATTATTAAAGAAAATTTTTTAAAAAAAAAGAAGAAGTATATATTCACATTAAAATTGATGTAAAAAAATTTGTGCATATAACATTCTCTCTCTCTCTCTTTATGTTTAGATACAAAAATTTAGGTAAAGTATAATTAATAGGTAATTAAAAATATATTTGTAAAAATAATTATTATATAATAAAATAATTAAATAATTTAAATTAAAATGTGATTAAAGTATATAATTATATATATTTTTTTAAAAAAAATCAAAGTATACTGAGCGAACGAAATTAAAACAGTTGACACTTTATGTGAGACGAAAATAGTATTTTTTTAAAGAAAAAGAAAGTATAAAAGATAAGTATATTTTATCTTTTTTATCCAACAATATTAATATTTTTACACATAGAAACATTTTAATTTTTTTTAATTATGTATAGAAAGCAAATGATTACCTTCTCCACAACTAATGGGAAAAAAGTATATGTATTATACATGTGTTTATATGCACTAGCTCCTTCAATTTTTTATTTTTATTTTTATTTTTATTTATATATTTTTTTAAAATAGGGTTGGTACCTACGTAAATGATTGTTACTTAAAAAAGAAAAAAAGGTGTGTAGAAGATGTTAACTTAACATTATTTTTATTAAAGTTGGATTGATATATTATCATTAAAGTTGAATGAATGTTAATATTTAAATAACTCCCATCTATTTTTATTGAAAATAAAGATAAGTATTTCTTGAATCCAATTTTTATTATTCGTATGTATATATATATATACTTCATTCGTCCCGAAACTAAATATTTATTTGCTTTTTGTATGTAATTTTAGAAATATTAGTATTATATTGGGATATAGTAGGAATAAAGTAGAAATGACTAAAATAACCTTATTAGTATGTGTGATATAAAGGTAATAGCATTTGTGTAATATATTGTAAGTTGTAAGGGTATTTGTAATGTTAGGTAGATAGTACAGTTACTAAAAAAGGAAATTGATACTTTATTATGGGACGGACTAAAATAAAAAAATGGATACTTTGTTATGGGACGGATGATGTATTTTCTAAAAGTATATATTCCTTATGTTTCAATTTAAATAAATATTTTGATATTTTATAATATATTTAAAAATAATAATTTATTGATTAGTGAAAACTTGATGATTTAGATATTTTGTTATTTGTATTTAATATACTCCATCCGTCCCGTAAATATAGTCTTAATTGGGCTGAGTACAAGATTTAAGGAATATTGATATTATATTGGTAGTTGGTAAAAAGTACGGATAAAAGATTTTTTTGCCCTTGTGAGTGTAATAGTGTAAAAAGTAGTGGCAATTATGTAATAAAAATGAAAAAATAAATGTAGTTTTATGGTGATATGGTTATTTATGGAAATAAGACTATTGTTTTGGGACGAACAAAAATGATAAACAAGACTATTGTATTGGAACAGAGGGAGTATAAGTTAATTGTATATGTAATGATATGTTTGTAATTTATATAAAGTTAAATAATATTTTGGTATTAGTGTGTGATTACTTTTATTATAATAGAAAAGAGTAGCATTATTTAGTGAGACGAATGCAAATGGTAAAAATAATAATTTTAATTGGGACGGAGAGAGTAGTTAAATACAATACTTGTTTTATTTTTATGTTATACTAAAAATTAATTAACTTTATATGTAGAATATCACATTAATATTTATTTACATCCGAACACAAAATTCAGCACAATATTAACAAATATATAATATAAAGACAAATATATGATTAAAAACAAAAATATTACACATGTCTTACAATAGCTTGGTAGTTTGTTATGGCACGAAAGGAATATTAAATAGTTATTTATATAAATTAAATAATTATTTTAATTAATAATTTTCTTTTACCTATTTCAAAAATACCAAAACATGCCAAAAGTTGCCGGGCAAGAACGGATTGCAATATACGATCCATGCAGCATGCATGCACTGTCAATTTTGGCAGCTGCCATATAAAAAAAAAATATATATATATATATAGACATATAATAATTTTAATTATATTATTATTATCCCTTTGCATTAAAAAAATGTTTAAATTTTTTGACACGAATTTTAATATGAATATGCATTTTTTACTAAAATTTACTTTTTTTTATAGTAAGAAAATTTAAAATTGTACAACATCCGTCCTTTAACAATCTATCTGTTTGTTCCATAGCAAAGTATTTATTTTCTTTTTTTTAAGTAACTATACTATTTATTTAACATTATAAATATTCTTTTAATTTATAATATATTACACAAATGTCAAACATTTATAACAATAGTAATAAGGGCAGTTTAGTTTTTTTACCTTTATTTCTACCGCATTCTAATATAATACTAATATTTCTAAAATTTCGTGAAAAAAACAAATAGATAGATAGAAATGAGACGGATGGAGTATAATTTTACCAAAAAAAAATAAATGATAATAATTTTTTAAATGACAGACAACTTTATCTGTTACGTTTGCCTCTTTTTTTTTTTCCTCTTTTATAAACAAACTTTTGAATTTCCTTTTCGTTCCAAAGAAACATCCAAACACGGCCTTAGTAGGGATGCTCAACCACAACTAACTTCAATGGACAGTAGTTCATATTCACCTGTCAGAATACAGAGACTGCAGTGGTCCTGCTAAAGTCCTGTTTGGGATTTATGGAAAAAAAAATCAGAAATTACTTAGGCTATTGGCGCGGCTCCTCGTTCGGATATAGACAACTTTGAAAGCTCAATTTCATCTGCCCGTTGTAAAATAAGAGAGCATACAGCAGGTCCCGGGTGCCCAGGTCCCAACTCATTTCTAATATTCATAATACTTCTTAGAAACTATAATTTAATATAATATTGTTTAGAGTCTAAAGTCATTTATATAATATTTTGAATTTTTGTAGGGTCAAATAATATTATATATATATATATTAATTGTATTTTATATAACTTTTTAAATATATAAACAGCATAAAAAAAATTAAAATAAATTTATATCAATTTCACAATAACAATATACAACTAATTACTAACAAATATTTATAAAAAATTAATATATCAATAAATATAAAATTTACTATAAATATTAATTTAAAAATAAATATATATATAAGTTTTCTCTTATAAATATTATATTAAAATATTATTTAAATTATAATTTAAATAAAAAAAAAACTAATTTCAAAACAAAATCAAACACATGTATTGAAATATAAATGCGTATTGAAATAATATTTTGAATGCAAAATCAAATTTTGAATTGAGATAGTAATTTGATATGATATAAATGCGTATTGAAATAATATTTTGAATGCAAAATCAAATTTTATGAGAATAACAACTACTATATTTTTCGTGTAAGTGATTTTAATTATTTAATTTATGCTATTAACATTTTTTTCACAAAAATATTAAATCAAATACATATTTTTTATATTACACTAAGTATTAATTTTACATTTAAATTATCACATTAAACAACTATTTAAATTAAAAAATTTACTATTCAAATCAAAATTCAAACTCCAAAACAAACACACCCTTTTTACTTCATTGATTTTATGTATATATAGAATATCACATTCACCCCACTATTTAATTAAAGTAAAATAAAATTAAAAATCATCAAGTAAGCAAAACAAATCAAGTTTCATTGAAGTACGAGATAATTTAGAAAAATGTATAATTAGTAAATAATTTAAAAATATATTAGTAAAATTAAAATTTAAATAACTAATTAATTTAATTAAAATTTAAAAAAATATATAAAATATGAAATTTAAATGCAGTTAAAGTTTTAAAAGAAAAAAATAAATATATAATACCAAAAATATAGCCCGGCATAATTTTTCAATTGCGATTATTAAGAAGTAATAATATAAAATACAATATTTTATACAAAAGTAAAAAAATCAAAATACTCATTATAAAACGTCAAAAAATTAAAATACTAATTAAAAAAATCAAAATATTTGTTATAAAAAGTTAAATATTCAATTTAAAATAATATACTCCCTCCGTCCTACAACAAGAATACAATTTTCCATTTTTGTCCATCTCAATAAAAGAATATCATTTTCTAATTTAGTAATTGTACTACATACCTAACATAATTAATACTCTTACAACTTCCAATATATTACACAAATGTCATTATTTTTTTTTATCACACAATCTAATAGGTGCAATTTTTTTTTTCACTATAAACAAATATAATACTAGTATTAAAAAATCTACGTGTAAAAAATAAATATTACTCTGTTTGCGGGACGGATGTAGTATTTTATTAACGGAGCCAATTTGTTTTCTCAAATAATGAGAAAATATTTCATTATTTTCAAAAAATAAAATAAAAAATAAAAAATAAAAAAATCTCAATCAACACGAACTAAAAGTTGGGGGTGGGGGCGTGCCAAAGAAAAGCCTTCTAATGTAACTTCATTGTGCACAAAGATAGGAATTGCCTTTTTAATTTATTCATCCATTCCTTTTGTAGTTTTCAATAAAGTCTTCAAATTAGACATTTTTTCAAATTTTGCATCAAAAATAAACCCCACCTTTATATTACCTATATATATATATATATATATAAAATATTAACACACAAAACATCCTTTTATTTTTTATTGGTCAGATTAATAATATAATAATAAAAAAAAAGTAAAACCCTTTTTATCATTAACCTAAACAGTCATTATTCCCTCCTCTCTCTCTCTCTCTCTCTCCTCTCTCTCTCTAAATATATATATATATATCTATAGACCACTGCCTAATTACAGTCTTCATCACTTCTGGTACATTCTTTTCCTCCAACCCTAAATCACATGCATTAATTATATTATATATAAATAATTTAATTTAATTTAATTAAGATGGTTCCAAATTTGGGCGCCACAAAGAAGGAAACAGCCACCAATGGCAGCAAGGCACGTGGCACGGCTCCGCCGCCGACGTGGTCCCGGCTCAAGGACCCCCGGATCGTGTGCATGTCACGTGCCTTCGGCGGCAAGGACCGGCACAGCAAGGTCTGCACCGTCCGCGGAATCCGGGACCGCCGCGTCCGCCTCTCGGTCCCGACCGCCATTCAGCTCTACGAGCTCCAGGACCGGCTCGGCCTCAGCCAGCCCAGCAAAGTCGTCGACTGGCTCCTCGACGCCGCCAAGCACGGCATCGACGAGCTCCCGCCCCTCGAGGTCCCGGACGGATGCTTCGCCCAAATGATCAATTCTCACACTTTACATCAGAAACAAAACCCTAAAATCGGCCGGGACTTCCCCTGGAGCCCTAGTCCCAATTCCGACAAACTAATCGCCGGATCCGACGAATCCAGGCCGTTGGATCAACTCGAAAGGGCCTGTTTCCCAATTCCAGGGCAATCCAGGGACCAAAGCTCCTGTTTCCAGGTTCCAGGCCTGTACAATTCGATCCTGAGATTCGATACGTCCAATTTGGGACCCGGGAGCCCTGGAGTCCCCGATCAGGACGTTCGATGCGATCTGGGTCTTTTTCCGTTGCCGCCGTCGTCGGGATTTATGTCGCATTGTCAGGTTCTTGTTTGTCAGCCATCACAGGTAATGACGATGAACAATGGTGAGTTTTGTGTCCCTAAGCAATTATCTGATTTTTCGAATTCCGATCTTTCGTCGAATTCTGGCCGCGAATTTGGCGATCGGCCTGGAATGATGACGGCGGCGATGATGCGTGCATTCGGCGCGGCAACGGCGAATTTTTTTGGGTTGCCGGAAAATATTTCCGGCGAACAAAATAATAGTGAGTTTCATGCATAAGCTACTTGCATAGTTAATATATGTATGTATTCTTGTGTGTATATAGAGATTGATGTATATATAATATATATTGATTTATTTTTAAATTTTTTTGTGTGTAATTTGAGCTTGTATTATGATTGTTTTGGAATTGAAAAAAATATATATATATATGTATATATTATAATATTTATGAAAATTGCTTTGTTCCATGTTGCACGTGGTAACGGTGAATGTGTGTAAAAATGTGCATTTTTTAAGTTTAGTATATATTTTTTTATTTTTTTTGCTATTTCTCATAAATATATTTATTTTCTTTCCTAAAACTTCATCCAAAATTTTATTCAAAGTAAAAATTAAATTAAAAACATAATTTATTCGTCACTTGATAAGTATAAAGATTTTAATTTTTAAATAATTATATAAAATAAATAAATATTCAAGTGATATACTTATAAAAATATTATAAATTTTATAAATAATGTATTATATGAAAAATATTATTGTAATATATGATGTTTTTAAAAATAAAAAATTGATAAAAATAAAGTAGGAAACACAACCAGACAAGAGACGAAACTTTTTTGTTATTTGTTATGCACATAAAGGCATAGTTAAAGTAAAGTGGAAAAACACAAACAAACAAAGTGTACCTTTTATTATTATTATTATTTATTTTTATTTTATTTTTATTTTATCATTTGTTTAAACACATAATTAAATGCATGTACCACTTATAATAAATTAAAGATTACAATAATAAATTCAATAAAAAAATGGTATGAAAATAGACTCGTGACAGTGAAATTATGAGTTCAAACCATATTATATATATAAAAAATTATAATAATAAATTTTAAATTTTAAGGTTTAAATTCAGTATTGTAATATTATTCAAATTTTAAAAATAATTTTATAAAACATCCATTGTTATGTAGTACTTATATATATATATTATTATTGAGTTTTGATAAATAATTATTAGATATAATATTTTGTATGAAAAAATAAATATGTTAATAATCTTGTATTATAAAATTAATTGCATCACCCCATGAGAAAATTAAGCTATCTTGAGAATTGAATCGAACAATTTGAGAAATGCAATTAGAACTAACAAACTTAATTAAATTACCTTGAAATAATATAATATTATTTTGGAGTGTAATTTATTTATTTTAGTATATTTTTATAAAAAAATAAAATAATATAAAAAATGATATAAGAAACAAAACATAGCCCTATTATATGGGCTTTATATATTATATTACTATGCAGTTTTATAGTTCACAATATCTTTAGGGGGGTTCGGATAAATTGGGTTTGAGTTTGGTTTTTATTTGAATTTTATGATGGGTTTGAATTTTATTGTTTTTTTGTATTTGGATTTGGTTGGGGTTTTGGGAGTTTTGATGTGTATTGATTTGATGGATAATGAAAAAATAATATAAATGTGTATTAAATTTAATTGATAAAATTTATATTGTATGATTTGATTATGAATATATATTATACCCAATATATATATTTAAATTTTTATTTATTTGTATTATAAAAAAAATTATTCTCTACAAAATGACATATATATTGTATAAATTTTTTTCAATTTTAATTATTATAATTTTTTTATAATTATAATTTTAAAAATTTTATTATTTTATTAGAAAAAAAAAAGGGACAAAGCTAGGCTTTGTCATACAGTAAAATACCGTTTACACAGTAAAAATGTCTAAACCTAAGCTAAAGAAACAAGCCCTTAATTAAACTAGCTACTATTTTAACTAAAAAGCAACAAAAAAAAATTAAATTACACATACAAAAAGACACATACCCATTATCTTGAAATGAACATTCAATTAGACTGGGTGGGTGTGTTTTTGTGGGGGGGGGGGGGGTTGAAATAGTAAAAATTTTGAATTTGAATAATTGTATGATGTAATATAAATAGGTGTTTATGTGATATTTTGAATATAAAATTGATTTTTGGTATAATATAAAAAATAAAAAATAGGTGTTTGATTTGATGTTTTTTAAAGAAAAAAAATGAAATGAATAATGGATTTAAAATCCAATTTTCCAAACAAACACACCCTTATTAAAACAAATTAATTTAAGATTTATGTATGTATAGATATGAATTTGAAGAGGGAACAAGTATAAATAAAATGATTTAATTTTTAGGTTTATAATATAAATTGTTACAGTAACTTTATCATAGACATAACTGCATAGGAGCTAGGGGCAGTTGACCTTCCAATTCCTAAAATATAAGATTTTTAGAGTGTAAAAAATAATAAAATTATGTATTTTTTATTATTTTGCTTCCCTTATTTTTCAATTTTTTTTTATGTTATAGTGTAAAAAATAATAAATTTTTTGTATTTTTGTTGATTTATACTTTTAGATTTTAATATTTTTAGTAGAGATTATTGAATTTTATTAAATTTTTTTAAATATTTCTCTAAAAATTAATTTTTAGCTTTTTTTTTTCTTGTTTATCCGATTGCATTTAGAGAAATAAAAAAATAATATTAAATAAAAAAATGAATTGACATATTGCTTTCCTAAATTTTAGGGTTGGTTCTGTCACTGAATGACTGTATTTAATTTATTAAAAATTGAACATTGAAAATATATATTATATCTTATAAACACGAGTTTGTATCTGCCACTTGAAAAGTCTATCCTGCCCCTCATTTTGAAAATGACAATTTAGTCCTTAACCTATCTTTGTACTGGCTTGAAAAGACGAGATTGTACGGATCTGCCACTTGAAAAGTCTATCCAGCCCCTCATTTCGAAAATGACAATTTAGCCCTTAATCTACCTTTGTACTGGCTTGAAAAGACGTTTTGGAACCGTCGCCAGCAACCACCGTCAACCGCCCAAGACGAAACGTTTTGAAACATCATCTGGTCGGTTACATCAACCGCCTCGCCAAATGCCTCCACCAGTTCCACAACTCAAATAGCCCAACCGACCAATCCAGAGACCAATCGCTACACCAAAAGACTTCTTGGCCGCACCAACCAAGCGACCTGTCTATCCGCCTGCGGACCAGCTGACTTGCCTATCCGACCGCAGACCAACCGACCTACTTTATCCGACCGCAGACCATCAGACCTGTCTGTCCGACCTGCTAACCATCAGACCTGTCTGTCCGACCGCTACCTATCCGACCGAGGACCAACCGACCATACCAACCGACCGAGGACCTTCCGACCTGCCAATCCGATCGCTAACCAACCGACCTGATCATCCGACCGAGGACCAACCGACCAGACCAACCGACCGAGGATCTTCCGACCTGCCTATCTGACTGCTAACCAACGCACCTGACCATCCGACCGAGGACCAACCGACCTGTTCAACCGACCTGAGCGCAATTTTTTTTTCCTTTTCCACCCGACTTCGTGTCTATCTTCCTTTAAGATCCTGCTATCCTTATTATTATTTTTTGTGCGTAACAATTATCAAAGTTGAAATATCCTTGCTATTTTTGACATTTCAAAACTCATAAAGAGATGCAGGGTCACCCTTCTTATCTCAAACATTTCATCTACATTCTCCTATATTTTATTTTTTATTGTTGTTGATGCAATTTTTCAACAATAAAAAGTAAAATATGAAAATAAAGTGTTGATGTATTTTTTCAACAGACAAAAAGTAAAATTCAAAGATATGGAAAATATCCTTAAATTTGATTAATTAGCGCCTGAGATTAGGAATCTCTAATTCCTCCTTTATTGACACGTGCCTTGCACCGTCTCGCCAAACGCTTCCACCAGTTCCCAAACTCAACTTGTCCGACCGACCATTCCAGAGACCAATTGCTAGACCAGCCGACCTACTTTATCCGACCTGCTGACCATCGGACCTGTCTGTCCGACCTGCTGACCATCCGTCTGTCCGACCTGCTGACCATCAGACCTGCAGACTTTCCGACCTAAGGACTTCCCGACCTGACCACTTTTCGTCTTGACGACCTCCCGACCTGAGGACTTCCCGACCTGACCACTTTCCGTCTTGAGTTCCTCCCGACCTGACCACTTTCCGTCTTGAGGGACTCCCGACCTGAGGACTTCCCGACCTGACCAACCGACCTGAGCGCAAATTTTTCTACTTTTCTGCCCGACTTCGGGTCCTACCTTCGTTCAAGACCCTGCTACCATTATTTTTATTATTATTTATTATTTTTGTACGTAACACCTTAAATTTGATTTTTTAGCGTCTGAGATTAGGAATCTCTAAACACTGTACGGTACATAAAAGGAAATTGATTGGAAAATTAAAATGCTGAAAATTTAAAGTGGTGATCCCCAAATCTGACTTTGCTTTGTTGAAGTTGATTGAAGATGCTTGAAAATAAAAAATCTAAATCCTTAAATATTACTTGAAAAGACGTTTTGGAACCGTCGCCAGCAACCGCCGTCAACCGCCCAAGACGAAACGCTTTGAAACGTCGTCTGGTCGGTTACATCAACTGCCCACTAATTCCTCCTTTATTGACACGTGTCTTGCACCGTCTCGCCAAACGCTTCCACCAGTTCCAGAACTCAACTGGCCCGACCGACCATTCAAGAGACCAATTGCTAGACCAGCCGACCTACTTTATCCGACCGCAGACCATCAGACTTGTTTGTCTGACCTGCTGACCATCACACCTGTCTGTCCGACCTGCTGACCATCAAACCTGTCTGTCCGACCTGCTGACCATCCGACCTGTCTGTCCGACCTGCTGACCATCAGACCTGCAGACTTTCCGATCTATGGACTATCCGACCCGCTAACCAACCGACCTGACTACCCGACCGCAAACCTTCCGACTTGTCTGTCCGACCTGCTGACCATCAGACCTACAGACTTTCCGACCCGCTAACCAACCGACCTGACTAACCGACCTGAGGACTTTCCTTCTTGATGACTTTCCATCTTGAGGACCTCCCGACCTGACCAACCGACCTGAGCGCAAATTTTTCTACTTTTCTACCCGACTTCGGGTCCTACCTTCCTTCAAGACACTGCTACCATTATTATTATTATTATTATTATTATTATTTTTGTACGTAACAAGACCTTATGTATTAGTTGATTTGGGTATTAAAACTTTTATGTTGTTATACACGAGATTGTATGGATTTGTCACTTGAAAAGTCTATCATGCCCCTCATTTCGAAAATGACAATTTAGCTCTTACCCTACCTTTGTACTGGCTTGAAAAGACGTTTTGGAACCGTCGCCAGCAACCGCCGTCAACCGCCTAAGACGAAACATATTGAAACGTCGTCTGGTCGGTTACATCAACCGCCTCGCCAAACGCCTCCACCAGTTCCAGAACTCAAATAGCCCAACCGACCAATCCAGAGACCAATCGCTAGACCAAAAGACTCCTTGGCCGCACCCACCAAGCAACCTGTCTATTCACCTGCGGACCAGCTGACTTGCCTATCCGACCGCAGACCAGCCGACCTACTTTATCCGACCGCAGACCATCAGACCTGTCTGTCCGATCTGATGACCATCAGACCTGTCTGTCCGACCGCTAACCATCCGACTGAGGACCAACCGACCAGACCAACCGACCGAGGACCTTCCGACCTGCCCATCCGTTCGCTAACCAACCGACCTGATCATCCGGCCGAGGACCAACCGACCAGACCAACCGACCGAGGACCTTCCGACCTGCCTATCCGAGCGCTAACCAACCGACCAGACCAACCGACCAAACCAAACGACCTGACCCACCGACCTGAGCGCAAATAATTCGATTACATATTTGTTTTACAGTTTATATTTCAAATAAATAATGTTTCACTACATTACATTATAGAATAGTCGCGCGGTATACCGCGCAATAGCGTGTTCTAGTATATATATAAATAAATAAAAGAAAGTAACCCATCCTAATTATTTCCAAATTATTAAAAATTAAAATTAAACAGTAGCTTGGATATGCCCAACCAGCTTAGTTAAGAATCAACACAATGTATATTTATATATTTATACACTTTTAGATTATGCTCATCATTATTAATTATGATTATTAAAATGATTGAGATCTTTTCAACTCTATTTTTTTAAGATTTGGTTTTGGATAAATACAATTCATAAAAAAAGAAATCTTTCAAAACAATGAAATAATTTTTTATCTTTTTTATTATTCGATATTGTATGCCAAAATATTATTTTTATATTCAAATATCATATTTTTTTTCTTATAAAATAATAGTTTCATTTTGTCATTTTATTCTGTCTAAAAAACTAGCACATTTCAATACTTGGTAACTAGCTTTCTATTTTTTTACAATAATAACATAGAATAGAGACATTTTGGTCTTTTAAAAATAATTTTACACAAAATATCAGTTTAGTATTCATATTTCTTAATTCCTGTGTCCTATTGTTATTAGACTGTACGAGCATCAAATACTCCCTTCGTCCCAGAAGAAGAAGCGTCTTGTTGGGAGTTGGTACGAGAATCAAGGAATAATAATAGTATTTAATTCAAAGCGAGTATAAAATAGAATGTAAAAGACTAAAATGTCCTTACTTTTTGAAAGATTTTAAAAAGTATGATAGAGTAATAATTAGGGATAGTTTGGAAAAGTATGAATAATTTTTTCATAAAGTGGGGACTATGATTACTAAATAAGGAAACAAGACAATTGTTTTGAGACAAACAAAAATGAAAAACAAGACAACTCTTTTGGACAGAGGGAGTATTTAGTATTTATTAATATATATCACATCAGTATTATTTTAATTCAAAATTTCAATGTGTTTCATTTTGAAATTGAGTGTTTGATTCGAATTTTAGTTTAATTAATATTCTAATGTAATATTGTACAAGCTAAATCAATTGAATATATTTTTATCAAAAATCGTAAAAATGAATAATATTAAAATGTATTTTAAATACAGACAAACAAATTCTTACCATACAGCTCAAAATTTTGAAATATGTCTGAAATCATAATCAACTATTTTCTCCCTCTGCTTATTTCACTTTGTTTGGGCACAGAGTGTAGTAATGTGCTTGTTTTTGTAAAATAATTTGAATAAGTATTTTTTTTTTTTTTTTTTACGTAAAACATAAGAAATTATTTTAAAAATATAAAAATAATAAATACGTGTAATATATTAAACTTTTTTGAAAAATATGTGTATTTTTATTTTTTTTTTGTTAAAAGAATACAACATAATAAATAATGATATTTGAATATAAAAGTGAATTAGGTAAAAAGTAAAATAGATGCATTATCAAAAATTTATTAAAGAATTGTTAAAAAAATAATGTAACAAATAGAAAAAATTGTAACAAATTATTAATTATGTGTTAAAATAGAAATAATAAAATATTAACAGTAAATAAAATTATTTTTTATAAATTAATTGTGCATAAGTTAACGGAAAGCAAAAATAATAATAATAAAAAAATCTAAATATAACTATAGTCGGAGAAAAATATTTATTATGTAACCTTATCTATACATATTTACTATTATAAAAACATATGAAATTTTTAGTACAAATTATTTTACAAAAACAAAAAATAAGTAAACACACATAACCATTAAAGTAATCTTTATCATAAAAATAAATGTGCAATAAGATATTTTTAAAAATATTAAATAATTTGATAAAATGATAAAGATAATACTCCCTCCATCCCATATCTATATATATCAATTTTTTTTTTCACGGAGTTTTAGAAATATTAGTATTATATTGAAATAAAGTAGAAATAAAGATAAAAAGATTAAATTAACCTTATTAGTATTGTACTATTATATAAAAGTAATGACATTTGTGTAATATATTGTAAATTGGAAGGATATTTGTAATGTCAGATAGATAGTACAATTACTAAAGAAAAAAATAAATACTTTGTTATGCGACGGATCAAAATATAATAATATGTTTATATATATATATGTAAACTAAATTTCTAATAAAAATGTGTTTTGTTTGTTTTGTGGTTAAATTTTAATTTTAATTTAAATAGTTTTTTAATGTATTTTATAAAAGAACATTGAGAATTATGCATAATATGACAAAATATGGGTGCAAACCAAAGCTTTTGGTGATTTTTAAAAATATTTTTACTATTTGATTTCACAAATTTGTATTAAAAAAATATATTTCATCCATAAAAAAAAGTAAATATTTTTTTTATTTTATTCCATTCCGAAATAAAAATTCATGTTTTTAATATATTATACAAATATTTTTGTTTTTATATAACAAATATTACATAGCTAATATACACTACTAATACGAATATAAACGTCATTTGTTTGTATTATATTAATACTAATATTAAAAAATTTATGTAAAAACCAACATTTTCTTTTGGGTTCTAAATGTATTTTTTTTTAGGTTTAACATATATTTTAATATTCATATTTTTTCAAAAAAAAAATATCAAATTAAATAATTAGTTTTTTTATATAATACTATAAACCAATTTTATTTTTAAACTATTATATCAATATTTTTTTTTTATATGCATAAAACAACTATTAAAAAATCCATACCCATAAATAAACACACTTTTAACACATTTGGGCTTTATTGGGCTCAAAATGCTCAGTACTTTCCTTGAAATCCCTCAAAACCAACATATTTCCAATGCGGCCCATTTAATAACTTAATGGGCCATAAATTACAATACTCCCAACGAGATCCCCTCCGGTTTGTTTCCCTGCGGTTACATACAATGAAAGCACAAAGTTAGAAATCGCATTACGCAATTACCGCCATCAACGAAACTCGGCCACGGGTTGCTGCCCAAGCGACGGATGTGCTACGCGGAGAGCTCGCCGTCCATAAATCGGCAGCCACCGCTCCAGAAATCCATTCCCCGCCACTCAGATTATCATCCCAATCGAGGTTTTGGTGGGGGTTTAATTCTTGTTCATCGCTAAAGATTCATTACCTGGCTTTAATTGCGGTCGGCGATCGATCTACGCCTCATTGCGGCTTCATTTCCAGGGAGCTCAATTGGATTGATTCAATTTCTTCTCCACCGCCGCGACTCCGCCGTGTTTAAACCCTAGGAAGTCTCCGGTAAGCAGTTCATTGTTTACTAGTTTTCGATCTCTTTTTAAACTTGCTGGGATCGACGAGCCTAGGGTTTTTTTTTGTGAGCTCGATTGGTTGTCGCTAAGAACGATAATTCATTTTTTTGTTGAAGGAGCGTTGTTTTAGGGTTTAGGAGAAATTTATAGTGTGACTGAGGTGCTTTCATTTGAGTGTGGTGTGAGATTATGAAGTGTTGCTGAATATGAGCGATGGGGATGGGAAGGAGAGTGTGAAGTTCCTGAGCGAGAAAGATAGTCCGCAGAGAAAGGGGAAGAAGAAGAAATTGGCATTCGACGAATTCGCGGAGGCAATTGCTAGAATTGCAGTGGTTCAGGTTTGTGAGAGTGTGGGGTTTCAGACCTTCCAGCAGGCTGCCTTGGATACCCTAGCCGATGTCGGGGTTCGGTACATTAGAGAAGTAGGGAAGGTAGCTGTACTTTCGTGCAATTCCGCGAATCGGAGCCAGTGCAATGTGTTTGATGTGATCAAAAGCTTGGAGGATTTGGGTTTGATTCAGGGGTTCCCCGGTGCAGCTGATGTAGGTCGTCCATTTTCAGGTTCGGGGATCATTAAGGATATGATGCGATTCATTGGCAAAGCAGAAGAAATACCTTTCGCGTATTCGATACCTGTTTTTCCTCTTGTTAAAAGGAGGACATTAAACCCTAGTTTTGCACAGGCTAAGGAAAATCCGCCACACGGGCATATACCTAGTTGGTTGCCTAAGTTTCCAGATCCTGAAACTTATGCCGTTGTAACTTTGGGGAAAGACAATGACATAGAGACGACGATGGCCAGCGAAATTCAACAGGTTGAAGAGAAGCACAGAAAGGTGGAGATGCCTTTGCAGAATATGCAGCAGAAATTGCTTCATAACGGATATGAAGGTGTAGCTGTTGGACACGAGAATGCTACACAAACACATCGTGCTGCAGCTAGCAACCCATTTCTGGCTCCCCCGATACAATTTTGGGAAAGGGAAGTGTCTTTGCCAGTCATTCCGGCCAAGCTTTTGGAAGAGGATGTTGGGTACCGTCGAAGTTCTGAAGTTACAGAGAAAGATCATATAACCTTAGAGACATCTTTGAAAGCTAATGAAACGAAGAGTCGTCCTTCTGATCATGAAAACGGGAAAATGATTGTCCTGAGTGGGAGGCCCACTGTACATTTTAAGATCGGAAATAGTAAGCATCACTTAACGACCAAGCTTATGAATGTGGGTACTGAGAGACTTTATCCTTGGTTTGATATTGATATCAGCAGAAATGCTAAGACGGAAATTCGAGCTGAGAATATTATTTTTGAAGATACTGAGCAGCCGCCTGACTCTCTTGTAAATTAGCCGTCTTTGGTTAGAGACTGTAATTTTTTCATGGAGCTAGCATCTGATATTTGCTCCTGAGTAGTTGTAGGCGATGAGCTCGAGTTTTTTAGCGTACTGGACAGTTTAAACTTCTACTTGGGCTGTGTTCCCACTTTCAGCTGAGTTTTGAGGTATTAATTGTCATTAACCTTTGTTATTGATAATTTTTGTAACTGTATTCATTAGTTTTTATTTCAGTCGCTTATTTCTTTACGATGTGATTTATCCCCTTTTGAAGATGTATGCGTTTGCAAAAATTTCTCCAAGTTTAATATATTAGTTTCTGATTACTAATGTATACTTTGAGTTAGCCTTTATGCTTTTTTCACCCAGATTATGGTTATCGAAATCATTCTAATATTTAATGGCCCAATGCTACAATGTTCTCGCCGCTTATTGTGCATGCATATACTTACCTCTTTCTTAAAAATGTACAATGCACGGACATGCCTCTTTCCGAGTGATGAATTAATACATTTAGATGCACATTGTCTATCAGTGAATTTATACATAATTTGGCCTTGTTATTATTTGCTAATTCCCATTCTGTAATGTAATTACTTACAAAATCACTTAATTCAGTTAGTTACTTGTTTGTAGACTGAAGCAATGGTGAGGAAAACACAAAGTACTAACAAATTGAGGAGATTTCTGCTCTTAATTCTCCATGTTATGCTGCTCAACATATAATCTGAGTCACCGCCGTTTTTGAGATCTTGCACATGCACATATAATAAGAAAAAACTGGCAGGAATTACTATTCACTAAACAGCAGTTGGTGACATTCTTTAGCCTATCATGATCGCAGTAATTTCTCCTGTTACTACCTGATTTACCAGGTCATTGAAACATAGCTGCTCAGCTGCTCAATGTCCAACACCAAAGCTGGAAGATGTTCAATCATCTGAGTGATACTTTGTATCCGATGTTATGAATCTGATCAACCCATCCTTCTCATCATCGTGGTGTCCTGCAGAGACGGTCTATTTCTGAATTTATGTCTTCCATGAATCCTTGTGAGCTTATCCTTCCCCTTCCAACTGTAAATACTCATGAAATATGATTTTTCAAGCCAATATTTCACTTACCAGATTCAAAAAAAAAAAAAAAAAAAAACTTCAATATATGATTAAACTTTCCCCTGCTATTCTTTCCAACAAGCTCACAATTTTCTTCATCAATAGGGACTTCTGCTTCTTCAATCAATATGAACAAGCTGGGATCGATCATGTAATATGAAGATTGAAGCTGATCAGGCATGCGGATGATACGTGAATTTTTAAGGAGTCCTGATTCCAATAGTATCTTGTTGATGTTCTATGATCAGAATCGAGGCATGGTTTACTGGTGGACCGTGATTTTCAGCTGTTTCATTTGGTTCGGTACTCATCTATGATTGCTCATAAAGTAGGCAACATACTTTTTGGATAACAGAAACTGTTGCATAGTGTCAATTATTCAATGAATGTATCAAATTTCAAGTCTGATCAGTGACACTCATGAGAATGGGTTAATACCTTGAAAAGCTGCTGAAGTTCTTTAGGATCGCTGTTGATGAACTAGTATACTGCTATTGCTTTCTGATTTATAAATCACCTTGTCCTGTTGAAAATATATTCGTGACTACTAATCTGACACTATTGTTCATCACTCAAAATTTTCAGCTTTGGGAACACTTCTCCATATGATTTTTTGTGGAATTCCTTCTGTCCTGCTCGAATGTGATGATGTTGATATGGTGAGGTGATATTCTCCTTCAATCCTGTATATGTTTGCTATAATCCTTGACTCAGCAATCTGGAACTGCATTCAGACCTGATGCAATTTTGTTCACTCTTTTCTCGCTTTCTCTTTTCTTGTGAATTTCTCCAAGTATTTGCTTAAGAGTTCTGAGATCTTCTCCAATACTTGCAAATTCAAGCTCGGGTATTCTTTTCTTAAATGGCCTATAACCTGCAGAAGATTGATGCGTGGTATTTACTGGACCATTCCTATTGTGTGCAGATATTTCACATAACCTAGACTAGAATCTCATTGTATCCTTCAAAGCTGGTTTTATTGGAAGCTTTGCAAAATGTAGATGGTTCGACTACAGATTGGGCATCGATCTTCTTCGAAATATGTTCGAAGAATTAACTTGAGCTTCCTTTCATTTTTGGACCATTCTGAATTATTCTTTGTAGGGATAGCTGCAGTAGGGTGTGAACATTATTCTGCTTTTTCAACCCAACCCTATCAGTGAAATTCATACCTGAAAAGAGTCCAAACTGAATAGCTTTGCTCCGAAGTTGGATGATGATCAAGTGTTGTTCTCAGGTTCTTTCTTAGATTTGTTTTCTTGCAGGTTTTGTTGCCAAAGAAACCCCAATCTTGATCAATGGCAGAATTGTGTTTTTTCTCGGTTGGGCTTGGTATATAATGTCTTGTGATAACCTTGGGAGTTCTTTGAGCTTCATGTTATTGACACAGGACTTAATAGACAGCCATGGGCTTCTGAACATTGAGTCCTTCATGAAATCTTGAATATACACATGTTATTTGGTATCTGGATTTGTCGTAGTGAAGGAGTTTCTGCTCTAATCAAGTGATAGGAAGTGAAGACAAAACCATAGACAGATGAAGAGGAGACTTCAGTGATTCTGTTGATGATACGGGCTCCTCCTTCTGCATCTCCCAGCTTTTCCCTGCCCATATGTAAGTGATCCAATAATATCTGACCAGAGCATTTTTATGGTAACAGCAGATATAAATAGATTGTCCACTTACTTTATGTTGAGAGCTTTTCTTTCTTTAGGTGACTGGTTGCTGTTCGACACACGTTGAAGTCTTGAAGAAAACAACTCTATGCAGCAATCATTGCAAAATAATAGGTGAACGGCGAATCCCATTTTCATTCTACTGAAATATATCATTGATCCTCCTAACTGGAAGCTGTTTGATGAAGTAAAAGTCGACAAATCTGTTTGGATAGGATCTTCAATCTTTTCAACTTCTGTGCAACAAGGAATAATTTGCATATCATTCATATACAAAATTAAATTTGCAATCCACTGTAAATTAATGTTTACACGTGCTAGAAATGTGAGCTATGCTAACAGATGTAGCTTTCTGTCTTTGATTTGTTCATAAGAACATAAATCGTTAAACTTTACCCTGCTTAACTTACAAACAGATCTCAAAAATACCTTGAAGTTGCCATTTATGGTTGTGTTTCCTCATTCATCGATGCATAACTAATCTGAATTTTCAGGTCATGTCTGTCATCTTTTGAAGAATTCACCATCTCCGCGATCCTTTTGCAACGAAGAGCACTCGCAGGTAAGCTCAAATCATTAATGCTTACAAGCTGCAATTTTAAAAAAGACATCTTTAAAGGAATTCCAGTGATCATTAGACTAGTTTTGGGGATTTATCTCAGTGAAATGAATTTGCTCTTTGTGTGAATTCAGTGATCCATAGCTTCACTGTTCATATTCTTTCTTTACCAGATGGACATTGAAATGTGGGTCGGTGGGTGGGTATGGGTTCTGGTGCCCAGAACGTTTGTGCTTAGCCATGTGAACTCCTGTCAGGTAACATGAGTGGATTCCTTTGTAGCAATATCTTCCATCACACTTGTATTAGGGTATGTTTCAGACTTTCAGACTTTCACTTTAGTTGCAATAAAAAAGCGAAGATTAATTGGTTGGGGTGTGAGATCAATTGATGTATGATTTACATATTTGATAGATATTTATTATTGTGGACAGAAGTCCCTGAACTTAGATCAATTGGATCGAACTAGGTTACCCTATCGTATATTCTTAGTTTCTATCCTACTTCATATATTAACATAATTTGTGTTGGCTCTTTAAAATTCCAATAATCAAGAGGATAGATTTTATTTGCTCTATGCCTAGCATTCGCTTCTTTTGTGTACATGTAATATATGTTTGTGTCTTATACCTCCGTCTCATCCATTTGCTTTTTGCACGGAGTTTTAGAAATATCAGTATTATATTTGGATAAAGTAGAAATAAAGGTAAAAAGACTAAATTAACCTTTTTAGTATTGTATGATATAAATGTAATGATATTTGTATAATATATTATAAATTAGAAGGGTATTTGTAATGTTAGGTAGATAGTACAGTTACTAGAAAATGAAATAGATACTTTGTTATGTATTATCGATGATCTTTTGTCAGCTTGGCCCCAATTCGGTCCCATGGTATGCTGTAATTTCATATCCCACTGTTCCAAGCTTTAGAATCCACATTTTTTGCAACTTTACTAAAACTGAAAATTCTCTCTCTCTCTCTCTCTCTCTATATATATATATATATATATATTGAATGTGGTGTTTGCTATTACTCCAAGTCAATGAAAATTGGTTGAGTTAGCAGTTTGTAGGGTGTGGATTAAGCGATGATTGTTGTGATTTTACAATACAATACAAAGTTTTGATGAAGACAGTCTACTTGTGTTTTACTTGCATAGGAATATATGTTAATGTTAGAGAATTTGCTAATGGTTTGAAAAGAATGAATGGGAGTTAGCTGAGTTGTAGATTATTACTTGGACAAAAGCATTATTGAGATACAAATGATTGGTGTATGTGATGGATTTGATTTTGATTTTTGAATTTGGATTTTAAATAGTAAAATTTTAATTTGATGTGATATAAATAGATTCTTATGTTTTGAGTATAAAATTTATCTTTTATATAATATGAAAAAAAAAAGTAATTATTTGAGATAGGGTTAAGTTGTGTTTGACATAAATATTGAATTTAAGGATATGGTTTATATGAGCTTTAAATTCAAATCATTATTATTTATTTTGTAGGATTTTTAATTAAAAAATTCATAAATATTACTTAAAATACTATTTAATTAAAGTTTAATATTATATATATTTTTTTGTTTGATTGTTGAGATAAATTTTTAAGACATACTCCCTCCGTCCAAGCAATAAGTATACATTTACTTTTGACGATAGTAATATTTTAATTATGACATTTTTGTCTTTACTTTGTAGTATAAAAGTAATGATGTGATGTAAATTAAGGGTATTTGTAGAAGAAAAAGAAGTATTTAATGAAATGGTTACTGACGTTGCAAAATAGAAATATATATACTTTGTAGCTGAACGGAAGAGTATTAGTTAATTATATTGTCTTGAATATATTTGCACAGTTTTTTTAGGAAATTGTTTTAATGTTATCAGCTATATTATATTTAAGATAATAATGTTTAATTAGTTAATATTAGTGAATTAAGATGTTGTTTTATTATTTTTTTATATAATTAATAATATTGGTAATTGTAAAATAAATTTAATATATATGATTAAAAAATAAAATATATATTTAAATATTTTAAAAATTATATCGTAATAAAAAATATATTCAATAAAAATATTATTTTATAGAGAATAATTTTTTTTATATAATATAAGGAAAATAAAAGAACAACATTTATTTATTTATGATTAATATAAATTAATGTTATAAAAGATGTAGAGTTTTAAATGTATATAAAAATATTTATTTTAAAGGAGATATAGAAATAATGAGGTTTTGATTGGTTTTTATTTTTATTACGATGTTATATGTTACGTAGTTAATTATATTGATTTATATTTATTAAATATGTTTTGATTTAGTAAATTTTATCTAAAATAAAAATGTATAAATTGTTAGAAGACATAAAATAAAAGTCAATTAAGATGAAATAAAAATAACTATTATATTAATTATTTTTTTTATGAGTGTATTAATATTGCCCACATGACACTTTACCAACTTACTCTCCACCAAATCAACCATGTGGATGCATATTATTATTATTGTTATTATTATTATTATTATTATTATTATTCTGCCTAGACTTTAAAGGAGAATATAAGGTTGGTGTCAGTGAATTCTGCTTAGTTTTATGGTACATTGGATTTTAATATAAATTTAAAATAATTGAAATTACAAATTTATTCCCTTAATATAATTTTTAATAAAAATATATTATTATTATTATTTTGTTATAAAATATGATATTTAATATTACTTAAACATAAACTAAATCAATAATTCATTTCAAACTACAATCAAACAAACACCAGTAAAATAATCATCACACGTTCAACTCCTATACCACCGGGCCATCCTTATGGGACAATTATTTTTGTTAATCATACAGTTTATTTAGTATTTGAAATTTTTGTTGTGAGATAGGAGGAAATGTATTTTTATTGTTATATATTGTATATATTATATATCATTTTTGTAATATTTTTTGAAATTATATAATATTAAGACATTAGGTGTGTTTGTTTGGGGGTTTGGATTTTGAGTTGGGATTTGAATAGTAAAAATTTTGAATTTGAATAGTTGTATGATGTGATATAAATAGGGTTTGATGTGATGTTTTGAATGTAAAATTGATTTTTAGTATAATATAAAAAATGAAAAATAGGTGTTTGATTTGATGTTTTTGGGGGGAAAAAATTGGATGAATAGTGGAAATCCACCAAAATCCTTCAAACAAACACACCCTAAATGAGCTCATTTAGTTTTGATGTGGTATTTTTTTAAGTAGTATAGTTTTAGTAAAAAAATTCTTTTATCATTTTATTAATTATTATTTGTTTGTAATTATTTTATAAACTATATTTAAAAGAAAGATAAAATAGAAAAGGATACTATTATTGATTATATATTAAATATAAAAGCAATATATTAATAAAATGTAAACCGACAACATATAGTTTCAATTAAAACAAACGTTCTATATTAAAGAACCATGTTTGTATGTGTTGATTAATCCTAATCATGATTTAAATCGGTAAAAAATTTGAGGCATTTTCAACTTAAAATAATAGCTAAAGAGTTAAGATGGGGATAATTGTTTGTTTTTTTTCAAAAGAAACATATACAATTCTCTAAAAAAATTAATATATTATATAAATATATTATTTTTATATTATTTAATAATTTCATATACTTCATATATATATATATATAAATATTCATTCAAATTATTTCACAACCAAAATACTACTATTTTGGATTTCAACTCTAGTTCTAATTGAAATAACTAAATATTCCCTCATAAACAATAGAATTACTATGCCAAAGCCCAATTTGTTTGTTTGTCTAGTATTATTGTTTGGATAAAGTGTTTTTTTTAGTCCCGTAATCAGACCCTTTATCATTTTAGTCCCGTAATCGGACCCTTTATCATTTTAGTCCTGTAATTTGAGCCTGTCGTAAACTAGTTTCATAAGTGAAAAATTTTCGCTGTTTTAATACTCCGGCGCCAGAGATGCCCGCGTGGCTCACCATAGGTGACGTGCTGACCTGGCGGACATGTGGATTTTTTATTTTTTTTATTTTTTTTAAAACTTATTTTTAATTTATTTTAAATTTTATTTGTATTTTTTTTATTTGGTCGAATTAAAAAAATGAAAAAAAAAAAAAATAAATCCATGTGTCTGCCTGCCGGGTGTCGCTGACCTGACAGGACACCTGGCGGACACGTCACCTCCGACGAGCCACGTGGGCGTCTCCGGTGCCGGAGGACTAAAACAACGAAATTTTTTCACTTATGGGACTAGTTTGCGACGGGCTCCACTTACAAGACTAATATAATAAAGGGGTCCAGTTACGAAACTAAAAAAATAATTTACCTTTATTATTTTAAATACAATAATAATAATAATAATAATAATAATAATATTAATTTATGTCACAAAGTTGGGCCTTGATATAATGCATAAATTTAATTTAAAAGAAAGCTATAAATTTAATAACACTAAATAGGGCATCTAATTATTTTTTTTAAAAAAAAATTACAATCAGCAGGATCTACAATATTTAAGAAATATACAAACTTATCATCTATATTTTAATGGAATTACAAACAAAAATATTAAAAATAAATTATATAAGTAAAATTAATATCCAAACATTTAGGGGGTAAATGATAAAATTAACACTTTTGATAACATATACTCTCTCCGTCCACTTTCAAAGTTTACATTTACCTTTGCGTCATTGTATTTAACATAAAAAATATTATTATTTTTGTATAAAATTTTATACAAATGTCATTATATTTGTATTGTAAAAATATTTGTCTTTTTACTTAATAAGAAATTTTTTTTTTTTACTATATTTTGATATAATAATTAATATTTAAAGATCAACATGCAAAAAATAAATGTTAACCTTTAAAGTGGACGGAGAGAGTATATAAGATATTAAAAGTATGTTTGTTTTGTATTTTGATATTTTTTATGTGAAATATAAAAAATTATTAAAGTGATATAAAAATAAAAAATATGTGCAATATATTAATTTTTTGAAAAAATATATTAAATTTTTTTGTTAAAACAACAAAGCCTAGATAGAAAATACGAAAATTCAAATTAAGATTCAAATAAAAATTAAAACTAGAATTAAAATGAAATAAACCATTACTATGATAAAGATAAAAGGCGATTTTTAAGTTCAATTAAATCATTTCAAAAATTATGTAATTTTTTTATTTATATACTCCATACTTCCTTTAACAATCTATCTATTTCTTATTTTGGTTCGTCCCATAACAAAGTATTCATTTATTTTTTTAATAATTGTATTATTTACGTAACATTACAAATACCATTCTAATTTACAATATATTACACAAATGTCATTACCTTTATATCATACAATACTAATAAGGTTAATTTAGTTTTTTTACATTTATTTATATTTCATCTCAATATAATACTCCCTCCGTCCCATTAAGAAATATCTATTTGTTTTTTTTACGTAGTTTTAGAAATAATAGTATTATATTGGGATATAGTAGGAATAAAGTAGAAATGACTAAAATAACCTTGTTAGTAAGTGTGATATAAAAGTAATGATATTTGTGTAATATATTATAAGTTGTAAGATTATTTGTAATATTAGGTAGATAGTACAGTTACTAAAAAGAGAAATGAATACTTTGTTATGAGACAGACTAAAATGGAAAAATGAGAGGGAGTACTAATATTTTTAAATTTTGTGCAAAAAGTAAATTGATATATAAATATGAGACGAGGAGAATACAATTTTTTATTATTTTAAATACTAACTATTGTAATAAAAGATAAAGATAAAATTAACAAAAAAATATTAAAATTATATAAATTTAAGGGTGTGTTTGTTTTGTGATTTGGTTTGATTTTTATTTTTAATTTTTTTTGTGATGTAACATAAATATAAAAATAAGAAGTGTACTTAATATATTATTATTATTATTTTTAAAGAATGGATTTAGAAATTTTTCGAAAAAGAAACCATAACTAAAAATTGACCAAATAAATAACTAAACCAAAGGCAATAAACAGTAATACCTCCGTCCCATATCTGCTACTCTGTAGACACGGTGGTGTAATTAGTAAATTTTATAATATAAATAATTATAAATTAAAATTAAAATAATTAATTAGTTTAATTAATTTTTTAAAAAAAATTAAAAAATTTAAAATAAAATTAAAATATATAATTATTTAAAAGAAAAGAAAATCACATTGTATGTGGGAGGACTGAAACGACAAGATGGGACTGTGGACGGAGGGAGTATTACTTTATTTTTGTAAATGGTAGACTTAAATTAACGCTCTCTTTGAGGCGCCGCTTAGCCGTTACCATTATTTCAAATTTATATATTTAAAAATAAAAAATGAAAATGGTATGAGTAATTTATTTTGTGGTATATAAATACCTCTGCCGACGAAGGGTTTTCCATCATTTGAATCGGCGGAAAACTGGTATGCGGTTTCTCCTTTCTCTCTGTTTTTCTCTCTGTGTTGTTTAAATTTTTGTTAGAAATGTTTGGATGAATTCGTTTGGCGGTTCATTTCGTGCATTTGATTGGTTTATTCGACGGTTTTGGCAGATCTGAGATCTGAATGTAAATTATTTTATGGATTTAGATTTATTTTTATCGCCTCTGGTGTTGATCGGTTGCTCGATGATGTGTTAGATCTGATTTTGGTGGCTGATTTTGTTGATTTGAATATATATTGGAGAAATCGATTTTTGTGGTTTGAAATTGCGGATTTCTGCGTGCTATTGGGAGTTATTGCTTTGGTATATGAATTGGTTAATGTATTTGTTTCATTTTGATTCTGGTATCTGTTCAAATGTGATTTGGTAAGTTAGATGTTGGTTTCTTCGTTATAGTGCATTATTCATTTCGTGCTCTTCTTTTGAGTACTTTTTTTTTTAAAAAAGAAAATTCTGCGTTTCCCTATCTTACCATTTTTGAACTCATAATTTGTAATCATTACGCCTTTTCTTTTATTATTTTATTGGTTCTATCTGGATTTCGTTTTCAGTTAGTGATGGATGTGTGTTTTAATAAAATTGAACAGTGTTGAATTGATTTTTTTATACGTACATACAAATATGATTTTGATCAGTTTCTCTCCCTCTGTCTATATGTGACGTGATGATGGAATGATGAGAAGGTAATGACTAGTTTTAGGGTTTGAATTTTGGTGAGTATAAGTATCAAGAAGTTTGATATGAAATAGTCATTTGATATCATATTTCTTAAAAAAATGATTAAGTAATAATAAAAAGAACAAATATACTATGGTTGTGGTAATCAACACACCCCCTTAAAATTTTCTATAGAATCCGTGCTCATTTACCTTACACCATATATATAAATCAATTGCATCACTAAATCTTGTGTTTTCTCTTTTTTGTTCTAGATTGAAAAAAGCAGAGAGAGATAATGGGACGCGGAGTTAGCGCGGGTGGCGGTCAGAGCTCGTTGGGATACCTCTTTGGTGGAGGAGAGGCAGCCCCGACTCCTCAACCTCCAAACAACACTTCAACTAAAACTCCAACTAACAACGACCCTCCATTGAAACCTTCACCAGAAACAGCCGCGCCGGAGGAGAGCAGTAAGCAGTCAACTCCTCCTGCAGCTGCTGCCGCCGCCTCCGGTATCTCCTCAAACAACTACTATAGAGCAGATGGTCAGAATTGCGGCAACTTCCTCACGGTCCGTTCCTCGTTCTTCTATCTGTTCTTATCATTTACCTAAGTTTCCTATATATACTTTCGACATTTGCACTTAACCTTATTATTATTTGTTGTTGATGTTGGGATAATTGCAGGATCGACCATCTACAAAGGTTCATGCTGCACCAGGGGGGAACTCCTCTCTGAATTACCTGTTTGGTGATGGCAGCAAATGATGATAGAAAGATGTTTGATCGATTGGCAGGTAAACTGAGCAGTTGTTGTTTTGCTGTTATATTTGATTATAAGTTTCTTTCTTGGTACTAAAAATTGTTGGAGAGAAAAGTTGATGATAAGCACCAAATGATATATTATGGTTGTTTGTGTGTATGTTAACTTTTCTTGTTTGTTGTCACATTGAAGGACATTTTATTGTTCTCTCTTCCAACTTTTTGATAGTAAATGCAATTTGAATTTGATTTGAAATTGAAAAAATAACTTAGTGTTTTTAGTTTTATTCGTTATATTTGTATATATTATTTTGATTGTTTTGCCCTTTTACATTTACCAGAAGCCCTTAAACACTAATATTAATATTATATTGATTTTTATATATATAAAAAAAGTATTTTTATTTATATTGTGCTATATAAAAAATTAATAATACGTTCAAGTTTTTAGAAAAAATTTCAGACATATTTCTCAAAAAATTGATATATCTATTTATTATTTTTTTATTATATATTCAAAATACAAATATTCCTAAGCAAATTTCAAGACAACAATGCTAAATAAACCCTAAACACCCGAGGGAAGACAAATAATATGTCAACTATTATTTTTATTTTTATTTGTGTAAAAATTAATATAAAATATAAATTTTTAATTTTTAATGGAATAGAATAAAAAGAATTAAATAATCTACCGAAGGAAGGACCCCATTTTAGAAATAGTATTACATGGAGAAGAATATTTATAATGTTAAGGGAGTATATCAAACAATAGGTCAAATTTTTACTAAAACCCAAACTCAAACATCATAAAGCACTCTGAAAGTGTGTTTGTTTGCATATTTGACTTTTGAATTATGATTAGAATAGTAAAAATTTTAATTTAAAAATTATATTTATACAAATAGATATTGATGTGATAATCTTAATATAATATAATATTTATACAAATAGATATTGATATGATAAAATAGATATTTGATATATTTTTTAAGAAATAAAATTTGATAAATAGTAAATATTGAAATAAGTAGGCCAACAGAACACAATGTATGATTGATAGTTAGGTGTGTTTCTTTTGGTTAACTTTGTTAAAATTTGGTTTGAATTTGGTAATAAAATAATGTTTGATAACATATTTTGTAAGATGAAAAAATATCTTTTTTTCTAGAAAAGCAAAACTACAAATAATAAAATTTGAAAAATTTTGTGTGAAGAAACATATAGAAAACCAAGAAAAATGAGAAAAATAGAAAAGCATCCTAATACATTATATATAAAAAACAAAATAAAAATAGAATGGATATAATAAGCATCTCCAATCGGCGCCATTTCTTCCATCTCCTAAGACTTACAAAACACAATGTGAGATGAGGGAGAGAGAAGAGAAACTGTAAAGATTGTTTTTACGTGGGATTTAGTTTTTAAATAGTAAGACTTGAATTTGGATATAAATAAAAATTAATGTAATATTTTGAATATAAAATAAATAATATTTATTAAGAAAAAAAAAAATGAATAGGAACAACCTGTAATAAATCCCACAAAATATAACCTAAGAGCCTGAATACGTTGGGAAATTATTGTACGGCTAGGCTCTTTTGTTCAATTTCCCCATTGTAAAATAATGGCTACAAACATTGGCATAAGTCGAAAACACAACGAATGCTTTTACTATATAAAATTTTAATTTTTTATTTTGATTTTGAATAGTAAAAATTTGAATTAAAATAATTTTTTGATAATAATAATATATATCAATGATATTTTAAAAATAAATTTAAATTTTAGTATAATATAATAAATAAAAAATAAATGTTTAATTTGATATTGTTAATGGAAGAAAAAAAATTGAAATAATAATATCAGGTAGAAAATTGTAGATGTAAACACAGCCAACATGAATTAGATATATAATTTTCAGCATTAGGGTTTTAACCACCACTACACTACACTATAAAGCTAAATAATCTTTTATTTCAAAAATGAATGAAATTTCAAAACACCTTTACAATCAAAACATGAGAACGTTAGTAACAACAAATATTCACCATGAAAGAGCAAATATATAATTCATGGCTTCACTTATTTTCTCAAATGAGGATCGAGCAAAGAATTCCTCAACTGGACGTTTTAATCCAACAGCAATCCATCACAGAGCTACATATACAGTGACTGTTAATTTTCTCAAACAAAGTGCTAATTTTCAGTATTGATTCTACAATGATACTTGATTTCAATTGCAACAAATCATCACTACTGATTAATTTTCTCAAACAAACAAAGTGATGATGATTCTTCGTGATGTTAAAAGTTCTGTTTCAATCTAAAAGAAATCTTCGTGACTTATTAATCTTCTCAAACAAACACGATGAAGATTATACATATGATGTTTGGTGTTATCTACCAGCAAGCAAAACACATCTAATTGCTCCAAAACAAAAACTGAATCAATTCTCTTGAAAGTGCACAAAAAGATAAATACGTTCCGTCGAAATCCTGGTCAAAATAGCCAAGCAAATTCTAACGCATCGTAACAACAGAAACACGTTCTCGGTCCGATACTAACATTTAAAATCAAAAGCGTAAGTAAAAGAGGATCGAAAATTACGGCTTAGAAGCCGAGCTTGGTGCGGCGCCAGTGGCGGCGCTTGGCGTTGTAGCGAATAGTGTTGTCGGTCCGCATCCGGATCCAGTACGGAATCGGCCTGTTCTGTCTCTGCTTCTTCGCTAGCTTCTTCTTTATAACAAACGTCTTGTGCGACGGCTGCAAGGTTGGCGAATTCCACATAAATTTCCGTTCCAAAACGGATAAATCAAATCGGAATTTACAGACGGGAGAGAGAAGCTATCGGAATAAGAAGACTAACCATTGTCGATTCCGGCGGTGAGAACTCTCCTGCTGCTGCTGCTGCGGTCTTCGACGGCGAGGCTAAATTGAAAACCCTAATCAGCGCTCTATTTATAAGGGATGTGAATCTCGTGGGCCGTGGCCTTTGGGCTTTATGTAGGGCGAAATACATCCCTATTATTATTATTATTATTATTAAATATTTTCCAATGTTTTACAAAATTATAAACATTCTTCTATGCATATTATGATATACAAATATACTTTGAAATGGTATTTAATGAAATAATAGGATTTATTTATTTTTATTTTTTGCTTTTTTCCATATTTTTGGCAGGAAGATTAATTTGATGAAATTGTTAGTATTACACAAAAGTGTAATTATCCAAAATTTAAAGGATGTGTTTGTTTAATTATGGTGTCAAATAGTTTTTTCATTATTAAAATTTGTGCATCTTGAAATACATAAAATTACCATTTGTTTGGGTTTTTTTTATAAAAAAAAATAAAAAATTCTATTTTAGTTTAAAAAATGTCTTAGGATAATATTTTTGTTTTTAATTACTGATATTTCTTTTTACTTAATTAATTAATCAAATATATTTTAATAATAATACTACACTGTACCTAATATAAAAAAACAATATAATAATATTAATGTAAATAAAATCTAAATTCGAAGATATGTACGAAATATAATAAATCAACTATTGTACTATATTATCAAATTCAATGGGCGTGTTCTTATAACAACAAATGCATATATATATATATATATATTTTTAAAAATATTAATATATCACACGTTAATTATTTGTATAGTTCATACACAATATATATCACATAAAAAAAATAAAATTAAATAATCTCACAAAACAAAGACACCCAACATAATACATATGATATAACAAATAGTACTATCATTTATATTAATATAATACTCCTTCAGTCTCATATCTATTTATCAATTTATTTTTTACACTGAAGTTTAAGGAATATTAATATTATACACCTAGTAAAAATAACGATAAAAAGACTAAAGTAAATTGTATTATATAAAAATAATGATATTTGTATAATATATTATAAATTATAAAAGTATTTATAATATTAAGTAGATAGTAGTACTCTTACTAAAAAGAATGAATAATTTGTTATGAAATGAACCAAGATAATAAATTGTTAAGGAACGTATAAATATATCACAAAAATTGATGGGTTAGGATCAACTGTTATCCGGTCAAGTCAAGATAGTGCTGATTTACCTAATCAACATATGCTAATATTTATACACATCTCAACATATTTATAATTCATCATATATACTATCTTATAACACAACATATACTGAAATATATTTCATCCGTCCCTTAACAATCTATCCATTTTTCTATTTTGATATGTCTCGTAACAAAGTATCAATTTCGTTTTTAAGTAATTGTACTTTCTACCCAACATTATATATACCCTTCCAATTTACAATATATTACACAAATATTATTACTTTTATATCGTACAATACTAATAGGGTTAATTAACTCTATTTATCTTTATATCTAAAATTCCGTAAAAAAGCAAATTGATATAGGATGGAGAGAATACTGATCCAATCAAATGAGCGGGGATGGTAAGCCGGATAAACACAAGGTCTGCAGTCTAAATTATGAGCGCTGTGGTAGGCAGTCTAAATTGATATTATAATTATTCACATCATACATACTATCACTAATTTCAAACAGCCATATGCATATACAACATATCCTATAGATAGAACCTGAACAGATACAGATAATTTCAACTATGGCATGTTGTGCTTTGTTAAATGGAAACTATGTAATGAAGATATAGTGTATTTTAGCACTGTCCGGCAACAAAATAAAAAACACATAGAAGTATCAAAAGGTTTCATTGCTAGTAGTAACTTTAAACTGTTCAACTCTTCGATGCTGTAAACATAAATTCTAGAAAAAAAAAAAAAAAAAAAAAAAAAAAAAAACAAAACAAAAACATAGACACGACATTTTCGTGATTATTAGACACCAATTAGACACACAACATTCGATGTGGGAGAAGCAAGCTACGTGCAAATTTCTCTCAGGATTCGACCAAAGCATGATCCTCTCTAGGTGCCTGTAGTTGCCTGCTCACAAGTGCAGTGTAGATACCATTCAAGCTAAGAAGATGATCATGGGTGCCGAGTTCCGCGATCTGCCCGTCCGCTATCACTGCAACCGTATCGGCGCTCTTCACAGTCGAAAGCCGGTGGGCGATCACTAGAACAGTCCGCCCTTCCATTAGCGAATCCATTGCATCCTGTCGATATATATACATATATATATGGGTGCATGTGAAAAAACATTAGATGTGGAAAAAAATAGCGAATTATTAAAATACCGAACATATAGGCTGAAAAAATATAAAAATTATAGAAATTTTGGTATACTGAATCTTTCTGTATGATAATAATACATACCAAAAATACCGTATATCGTTTTGAGAACTTGATATTCGATATATTGGTAAATACCGATAATTCAGTATATTGATACTAAATTTATTATTTCGGTATGAAACAATATATACAAATACCGTATGAGCAATTTGATATACCAAATTATATTGATCCTCTATATATATCTGACATACCGAATTTTCAATATGATAAAATATCGTACCAAAAATTTCAGTATGATATGCTGTATGAAATTCAATATACCGTACGGAACTAGTCTTAGAAAGAATTGTCGAGCAAAGCTAGTTAAAAATTTTCTTAATTTTCTTACTTGAACGAGGTATTCGCTTTCTGCGTCGAGGGCGCTCGTGGCCTCATCAAGTAGCAAAACTCTAGGGTTCATCAAGAGTGCTCTTGCAATTGCTATTCTTTGTTTCTGACCTCCGGACAGTCTCAGTCCACGTTCACCTACAATGGTTTTGTATTTCTCCGGGAAGGATGTTATGAAGTCGTGAGCATTAGCCATTTTCTGCAGTGGCGTTGAGAGACATATTATATTAGCATTAAGGATGAAAATAATGTTTTGAAAAGCCGAGCGAAGGTCGAGGATAATCGAACATACAGCTACGTTTTCTATGTCAGAGTCAGTCGCTTCGCCATTAAAGCCGTAGGCGATGTTTTCTTGTATTGAACAATTGAAAAGGACGGGCTCCTGGCTCACGATACTTATCTGTAGAACGTGACAATGTAAAACCTTCATTAGGACAATTACTTAAATAACTTTCGATCAAGGAAATTTCAATATGAATGTAGCACACGAAAATTGAGGTTTTCGATACAGCTGTAAAGGAGTCATGACATTGTTTACCTTTTGGTGTAGATATTCATGGGAGATTTCGACTAAAGAAACTCCATTCAGTGTAACTGTCCCTTTTATTGGATCGTAAAACCTCTCAATCAAGTTAGCTATCGTTGTCTGCATCAACCAATCGAACATTATGTGAAGATGTTACACATAAAGAAGTCCTGAAAAGACGTAAAAATCTGCAAGAATGGTCGTGAGTAAAAGAAGAAAGTTGAGAGTAGTACTTTTCCTCCACCACTAGGACCGACTAGAGCAACTTTTGATCCCGGGCTGAGTTTCAAAGTTATGCCCTGTAAATTAGACATTATTTGTCAATTCAAAAGTAGTGAGTTATCGGATGAATAAACACATTCTTAAAATCTCACTGATTGATAAAGAAGTATATAGACGAACATGTATCTATGATATACCTTGAGAACCATGTGACTCGGACGTGAGGGGTACGCAAACCATACATCATTGATTTCCACATCTCCATCTGGATTGCTGTGCAAAAAAAAACAATAATAATTGTAATAATATCCCCTTCATCCACCAAATCTATGCATGCTTTGCTTTTTTGTTTGTCCGCGTAGAATATACATATTCCATTTATAGCAAAAACAAAAAAAAACCTTCTACACTCAATTTATCCAAATTTTCTCTCTTTATAAACTCACCTATACACACTTCCCAAAATACTCTTTATACACAATCAACTAATATAATACTATATTCATTAAAATCTATGTCCAATTCACATGAGCATATATATCAGATGCCTATACTCAACCAAGAACTCTTGCAAACACTCCTCCACTGCCTATTAATTGGGGAAGTTCAACAGCAGCAAGAATTGACCTGACAGGGCATTGATCACCCGATTTAGGCATGGTCGAGACACGGTCCAGAAGCTGAAAAACTCTCCTACTAGCCCCTGCAGCTTTCATTGCAGTGGTGTATAGTCCTGACAGCGAAGATACTGATGATCCAACTGCAGTGTAGAAATTTTCCAGTTAAAGTGTGTATATATACATATATAGTCACAAATTTACACTGTAAATCAAAAGAAATCAAGCAATTTGATTTGCCTCACTACTATGAAGTGCTGATGTATATATTTTAGTGTCACACATAGTAATTAGTAATTAAGCAAGTGTTGTTACCTGTGAGACTGTATAAGATAAAGGATGTTAGAGCTCCTGCAGTTAAGTGGCCCATTATTGTCAAGTAAGCTCCGTATATCACCACTACAATGACAGACAAAGTCGATGCTGCATTCAATCCTCCAAAGAACAAACCCACCATTCTCTGCATCAAACAATGGATAATCTCAAAACAACTGGTCGATGATCTTAGGCTTTCCACTGCTTTGTTCAATCATATATATAAGGCAGCTTCTTAAAGAACTCACTGCTTGTCGGAGTCCAAGCGTCAGTGTGTCATCAACCTTCTCTGAGTATCCTGAGATTGCATGTTGCTCTCGAGCAAAAGATCTTACTGTACGAATGGCCCCAAATGATTCCTAAATTTGAAGCCGCATGGTGTCTCAGCTAATAGTCAATCTGTAAAATAGTGTCCTTTGTGATGTGTGATAATACCTCAGCAATTGATGCAGCTACAGCAGCAGCAGCTTGAGTTGCGTGTGATAGCTCACGGAGGTATCGCCCAAATTGGCGAACGCCAACTGAGATTATAGGGACAACAGCTAAAGCCAACACTGGAAAATCATAGACATCAGTAATTCGCACGCAAGATCTCTGTTATTGTTGAGCATGCATATGAATAACTCACATGTTAATTTCCACGATGATGAAAACATGAAGCCAACCCCAATCAAGCCAGTGGTCACATTTCTCAAGGCTTCGGATAGATTTGTGGTTGCAGCATTCTTGATGATTTGAGTGTCCTCAGACAGCCTGCTCAAAAGTTCACCCGTCCTAGTAACATCAAAGAACGCTATTTCCTGAAGGGAATTGATGGTACATTAGCACATAATGAGGTGAACTCTTTTTTCCTCGAATAAGATTCAATATTGCAGTTTTTTTTTTCTTGATATCATGCTGAAACAGAGACCATACTTGCTGCATTAGATGGCTAAACAAGTTCTTCCGCAGACGAGCAACAACCCTTTCACTAGCTGATGAGAATAACCATGTACGAAGTGCTGTGGACATAGAACTAAAAGGAAGTTTTGTTATACAATATAGTTCTCAAAGAGATCCTTAATGAACTGTATAGAAGCCAGATGTTGGTGTCATGTACCCGACAACAACAATCAAAAAGATTGCCAGTATAGTGCTTTTGACTTCATCTAATGCCTGAGTTTGCTCGTCGGGAGTCTTTATATCTCTAGATACAATGTCAATTATCATACCACCAAACTTAGGCTGCAGCACAAGAAAACCTCATGTCAAGAACTGAATCATTTACAAAAACTATACACATCATCAAACCTTTCCAGCTTAGGTAGGTAATTAATATTCATCTAACTTATACAATATTTTGAAGTACATAAGGAGTGACTTACTATGAGAAGGCTAGTAGTGGATGCTATCAACAATGCAATAGTACCGATGAATAGCTTCCCTGCATCAGGCTTTGCCTGTTCCAGCATAATTGTCAACAAAAACAAGAATCATAGTAAACATTGCTTATGTGGCATAAAATGCTTAAAATTTTCACTCACCAGGAGGAATACCCTGGAAAATCCAACATTGGCTGCCTGAAATTTATGGAGGACTCAACAAATTCCATCAAGCTATCCTCCAAAATAATGTTAGAATTTAGGGTGTGCAAGGATCGGTTTCTTTAACAGTGAATACCTCTACTTGATCTCCTTGCTCAAGATCTGTTTCCGGGTTATCGCCAGGTGTTTTATCCTCATCTTTCTTCGGTCCCTGTCATGATTCGTTAGAAGTATATAATGTGAGGTGCAGATAGCTCCACTTAACATGTCTTATCAAGCCCAAGGTGAGCAAGAGTAGACTTGTGGAATGGTTAATCACAAGTAGAAAATACTAGAACATAAAAGATTGTAAAATATGAATCTAGATTATAATATTAAATCAAGATTTAACTCCTTTACGTAAATAGAAAGCCATTTGGCTCCAAAACTTAGCATCTTTGTATCACATAATCGAGTTCTTCCTTTAAAAAGAAATTTCATGAATTGACTTGTCACTGCAGATTCCATTTCACGGTAAAAATTCAACGAGGGAATAAAGAATTTGCGCGAGAATCATTTTCAGATTTCCATTTCACTACATAGAAACACCCAACGCATAAAATCCTCAAAATCACATAATTTATCTACCGAAATCAACCAAAACAACGTTAAATCCAAATGAAAGCTTATTAATCCTATAAACCATCCAATCTCAAGGAGTTTAGTCGAAAACCCATTCGAGCACTAAAAAACTCCCTCAAAGACGAAATTATATATATATATATGTATATGGACCTCTTTTCTTAAGAGCGAAACTCTTTCACTTCCACTAGACATAATCGATCGCGAAGTCCAATCCAGGTGCTGCTTCTTTCCCATTCAAAAACGGATGATTTTACGAAGCTTCTCCGCAATTTAAACGTCCATCCAGTTGACCTTGCGATCGTTGATTCTTCTCCACAGAAGCAGAAGGTCGTGAATTTCAGGGAGGAAGAATCTCCACGAGCGAAGAGAGGAAAGGAGATGGAGACTGTGCGGTCCTCTTCAGCGCCGCAGACGTAACGAACCAACCTCAATAGGCATTGTGTTTGTCTTTTCTACTGACTTCCCAAGCAAGCCTTGTATGTGATATTACACATATACCCCTAGTTTACATAGCTACAAATTAATTATCACGTTGCATAAAGTTTGTCCGTACTTGGAACTCGCAACTTTTTTTTTTTTTTTTTTTTTAAATATCACATCAAATACATTTTTATTTCATAAAAAGGGGCGTGTTTGGCAATTAGCTTAGAGCTGTTAACTGATTCAATTAGCTGTTAGGTGATTCAATTAGCTAGTTTGACTAACTGATTCGATTAGTTGTTTGTATTAAAATATTTGGTAAAACAATTGTTAATTGTTTGATATTAGCTGTTTATACGTAAAATGACAATTAAGGATATTTTTATTTTATTTTTGTTTCTAATATATTCAATTATGTTCTCTTGAGTTTAGAATGTTTAAAATTTTTTTGTTATTAGTTATTAAAAATTGTAAAAGTGCTATAAAAGTATTTATTTTTATTACAGTTAAATTTTAAATAATAATATTTTTTTATTAAAATATATAAATAGTTTTTTCTATTAAAAATAATATAAAATATAAAATAATAAATTTTTCGTGTATATATATTTATTATGTTAGTTATCGATTAGTTCATTATAACTATAATTTTTAATAAATTTAATTTATTTAATTTATTTTTAGTATAAAATTTATAGAATGTAATTTTAATATAAAAATAAATTATTTATATTTATATTTTCTATTTTATGTTGATTTTAATAAATTTATATATTTTACAATTAAAATAATTTTTATATAAAAATTAATTATTTTAAATTTATAAAAGTAAAGCTATTTTATAATAAAATATTTTAATATAATTAATAAAAAATCAAAATATATTTATTTGTGTAAAATACATAATAAATTTTTAAGGGCATATAAGGAATAAATTTTTTTTAAAAAAAAACTATTTCAAAACGTTGGGTAAGTTAGATTTTCAAAAATTAGTTTTTTGGGTCCAAAAAGCTATTCCAAAAATCTAATTTACCAAACACATAAATTAGTTTTTTGACTGATCAAACAGTCAAAGTTGTTCAATAAGTTAAAAGCTTTTAAAAAAACTATTTCTCAAACATTCCCCAAATTACATAGTATTAAATTTTATTTTTTTAAAAATTTTAAAAATCTCCAAAAAAATCTCTATCTAAACAATTTTGGTTGTGTTTCGTTTTAGCTTTGTTCGTTTTGTAAAAACTTTTAAATAAATTTTTCCAAAAAATTTATTGTTTTCCGTCCATTTAATTTGTCTTTTTTTTTAAAAAAAATATTCCCTCCGTCAACACATAAAGTATACAAGTAGTTTTGACGCGGTGTTTAAGAAATAATAATATTTTAATTATAATGGATAGTTAAAAGTAGTGTAATGACATTTTTTGCCTTATTTTTTGGTGTAAAAGTAATGATTTGATGTAAAGTACGTGTATTTGTGAAAAAAAATAAGGTATTTAATGAAATGTTTACTTTATAATTGGACGTCTCAAAATAGAAATATATATATTTTATAGCTGGATGGATGGAGTAAAATATAACTATGTATTTCAATCACATTTTTAAATTTATAATTTTTTTATTTTAATTAAATTATTTAGTTATTTTAGATTTAATCTATAATTATTTTTACTAATTTATTTATTAATTACTTAATAATTATATAATATCTAAAACTCAATGACTCGGCTATTTTCATTATATCATAATTATTTTTATTAATACACTTATTAATTATTTACTAATTACATGATACCTAAAATTTTATATATCAATTAAAGTAAACAAATTTGTTGGGACGAAAGAAGTAACATATTACACGTATTAATTATTTATATATATTTTTATATTTCATATAAAAAAATTTCATTCAAACCAAAACACAAAAAAGCACACAATTTTTACCATTTTAAACAAATTTGTCCGACTATTGTAATTAGTAAGTACATGCTCCGAGAACATGGGCAAAAAAAACTCGAATCGAATTGCTAAATCGAATCGAAGTTTGAATTAATCGAGCATATTCGATTCGAATAAAAATAATGCATATTTATATTTGTTCGTTATGATTTAGTTTTGATATTTTTTTGTTAACCAAACTAAAATAAATATATTTATATTATTATGTTTATATTTTATATTAATAATTATTTGATTTTAATTATTTGCAAATATTTTTATTTAATTGGAATTTTAGTTGTTTTTTATTTATTTATTTATTTATTTATTTTGTTTAGTTTGAATTCTTTATAAATATTATAAATATTTAATCAAAAATTTTCGATTCGAATACGATTCATGAATTTGAATATTTGTTCGGCGGTAGTTCCTTAGCAGGTTTTTTCGGACATTTTCTAAGACCAGAAGGAACCGCTATATTCGATTCATATACCATTTAAAATAAATTTCAATTTCAATTTCAAATCAAAATTAAACAAATCGATTGAAGGTGACCAAGCCAAAATCAAAACTATCTTGAAGGTTTCATTTCAATTTAATATTTTTATACAATTAAAATCAAGTATTTATTGTTCTCTTTGAGATTTCTCTTTTTAATATACTCCCTCCGTCTCGAATATTTTGTCCGTTTTACTATAGATATGAGAATTTAGGAGGAGTATAATTAGTAAATAATTAAAAATATATTAGTAAAAAAAATTATCTTATAATAAAAATAATTATAAATTAAAATTAAGATAACTTATTAGTATAATTAAAATTTAAAAAATTATAAATTAAATTTTTTAAAATAAGATTAAAGTGTATAATTTTTTTCAAAAAAAAAAGAAAATGATAAAATAAGTTGGACGGACGAAAATAAGAAGGTGAATATGAGAAGTGAGACGGTAGAAGTATAATTTCTCACAATTTAATATTATATCATAATTATTTTATTTTATAAAATATCTTATTCAAATATTATTTAAATTAAAATAGAAAATTAAATAGAAACCCAAACCCAATGGTATCTTGTTTGGTTTGTATTAGTGTTTTATTTTTACATGTATAGTATTATGTTTTTATTAATATGTGAAGATTGTACAATAACCCAAAAATATATATATATATAAAGTAAAATGGAATTATTTTTAAATATTAGAAGGGATAATTAGTTTTGATTCAAATTAAAACAATAATATTATATTCATGCAATTTTCATAAATATATATATATATATATCTAAAATATAATGTCAAAATTTAAATTGAAACCAAAATCAAATAAATATTCTACTAAAGAATTTAACTAAGTATTGTTGGGCCTTACATATAAACTGGGCCGAGTCCAGTAATGAATCATAGTATTTCAAAATGTCAGTGATTTTGAATTTAAAATTTTTAGAATAAGAATATATTTTAAATATGATAAAATTTTAAAATAATTATAATAATAACTTTACATCCGTGGGCTTTGTTCTCTCAATAAATATTTTAATTACGATTTTTCAATAATAATAATACATTATACAAAAAGTCAAAAAGTAAAAAGAAAACTTCAAATATGTGTTACAATAAATATTCAATTTAAAATAATATAATTTTCGTTCACTTCTTACAGTTATATTTACCTTTTACGTCATTGTATTCAACATTAAAAATATCTTTATATTTGTATAATATTTTTGTATAAATATTCTTCTATTAGTATTATAAGACATTAATGAAAGTATTTTTGCAATTTATTTTTTTTAATTTGTACTATGTTTTAATATAATAATTAATATTCAAATATCAACACACAAAAAGTAAAATGGACTCTTAAAACTGGACGTAAGTATTACATATTTTATATTTTTGACGCAATTTCCTATATCATACACTAAAAATCAATTCATTTAAAAACTGTGAACGGAATGACTATTTATATATTCTAACATTTGTATTTGTATAAAACTTATATAATCAGTCGTGAATTTACAATCAAATATTAATTTTGAACTAATGAGATATTTTGACTCATTTCTTCTTGTATATATTTTTTTATTTTCGTCTGTCTTATGTTATCGTATATTTCTTTTAGTACTATGAACTCCATATTTATTTACAAATATTTCTATTTTATAATATATTATTCCCTTTGTCCACATTCAATCTATTCATTTTGCCATTTTAGTCTGTCCATCGCAAATATATCAATTTTGTCATTTTAGTCTGTCTATCGCATATATATCCATTTTTTTTAGTAAATGTACCTTCTACTAAAATATAAAATTACCCCACCCTTTATATAATATTACACAAATGCTATTAAATAACACCACTTAATATCATAATGTTAAGAGGTATAATAGTCTTTATGTATATCAATTGTACCGCATATATAAGAAGGATTTTATTTTTCATCTATCTATTCCAAAAACGGTATTGTTTTCTAATTTAATATTTGTACTACTTATTTAACATAATAAATATTCTTACAGTTTAAAATATATGACACAAATATTATTATTTTTATATTACAAAAGAGTTTTTATTTTTTTTACTATAAAATTAACATAATACTAATATTAAAACAATATAATAATCCCTCTGTCCCATTAAAAGGTGGTTATTTTTTATTTTCGTCTGTCCCAAAAAAAAATTATCATTTCCTAATTTTTGTAATTATACTACCTATCTAACATAATAAATATTTTTCCAACTTACACTATATTACACAAATGTCATTGTTTTTATATTACACAATACTAATAAGGGTATTTTTTTTCACTATAACCTATTATAATACTAATTTTAAAAAATCTATGTACAAAAAATAAACAATAACCTTGCAACGGAACGAAAGGTGTATATTTAAAAATAAATACTCTCTCCCTCCCGTTGGAAAGGTGCCGTTTGCTTTTTGCACGTAGATTTTTTAATATTAATATTATATTGGATTGTAGTAAAAAAAGATAAAAGTACCCCTGTTAGTATGGTGTAATATAAAAGTAATGACACTTGTGTAATATATTGTAAGTTGAAATGATATT